ACTACCTCTATTTCCCTTCCCTGATAACAGGTACACTCCTCTTCCCCATTAGGTGTTTGTGAGTTTGGCAGAAAAGTAGTGAAGTTCGTCTCACTGTACTGCGATGTACGGTGGCGATCATGATGAACCCGACCCTGATTTTTCGTGATTTCTTGATAATCAAAACGTCGAAATTGGAAACTGAATTTGATACGATGGTGACGCAATTCCTCACCGCATAGGAAAACCAAACGAATTTCAATTCTGATCCTAGATAATGTGTCCCTACGTGGGGTGAGGGGTCTCCGCGGATGATAGCAACTGGTAGGGGTGAAAAAAATACGGATCAACCTATTGCCCAAGTATGTTTTATTGATAAATAAGGTTGAAGAACCACTTTCGATCAGACTCTAAAAAATTGACAAATTCAAGCAACACAAAACACATATCACCGTCACCCAAATTGTTCGGTACACAGCTGCGTCATCGTCCGAAAGCCTCAGTATGGTCGGGTGAGTGTAGAGGGTTACGACTGGTTGTCCCTTGCAGTTCACGAAATGCTCCCACATGAGCAAGCGTCTCATATAGCCTCTGCTGAAGAAGACCTACTTATTGCCTTCTCGCGGCAGAGTTGTCTTGCCACCAAAGTGAGAGGACAAAAGCCAACATTCGCGGCTGTAACCGAGTCGGTAAGCAACTACCAGTTCACCCAGAGAAGTTGGCTAGAAAACCCTGATTCAAAACCGAACAAGAATATGAGTACCAACCACAAACACCCACACCTTTCTGTTTGTGACGATGGTCACCGGCTCAACTAGGTATCGGGGTGTATTGGACACCTTGGACATTTGACCCCGTCCGAATGGCACATGATCCGATGAACTGGACACCGGCTCTCAATGAATTGCGGTTTTCACACACCGCACCGCTCCACTGCCTTGCGGGTCGGACTTCGGCCAGTTAAAGGCTCCGGTTGTGAATTCCCTAAGAAAATTCACCTGCCTTGGTCTATGCAACCTGGCAGTATGCCCCCACAAACAAATCATGGAACTTTCTATTTTTTATAAAGATTATCGTACTATGATTTGTTTGGAACACAGGCTGGATTCAGACATGTGTGAAATACACATGGTCCGATTCGATACGATGAGCATTCTACCGGAGCCACTTCAACTCCTAGTAGTCATATTGTTGGTTCCCGTAAGTGACCAATAAATTCACGGGACTAGGGTATTCAATTTTACTACTGTCCATCATGCAAAGGTGGTTTCCAATACCCGAAGGAGTTTTTGTTTGTCTCTCTCCTCAAACGGAATTCGATGCTGTGACACCGCCACTAGTGACTCAAGATGATGAGTGCCTGTCTGCGTTGGTGCTGCTGCACAAGGATGGTTCACGGCCAACAACATTGTACTTACGTGAGCCGGTTTTGATTGCCTATTTGGACAAAAAAGCGCAAGGTGTTGACATTCCTCCGTGATTTTATGCTTTCCCCGCAGCCATTTTCGCCTCGTTCCTCGTACAATCCTCAAATTCCAAGTATATATATATATGTATATATATGGTTGATTTAAACGGACCTTCTATACAGGAGATGCAAGATGTTTAGCATAATTTTTATTGATACAACGAACACCTAGAACGGACGGAATTTCTTTGCCTGATACGTGAAAATAATAACCAACGCCAATATTTATTCGAAATGAAGTTCGGGTATGGGTTCAATTACAAAGTGCTTCCTGTATTCTCCTGAGCAATCAGTCATGAAGCAATGGAGTTTGGTCAGGCGTAGTTGTTTCAACAAGCGGTGTGTAGCATCCCAAGCTCCTCGCGCGATGTCTCCGAATGCCGCATTTTTCACAAACTGTTGGGGAAGTCCTACTCTGCTACCCCCTGAGCAGGGGTGTTTTCAACGAAGGTAGCACTAAGTGGGTGTGAAGGAGGGTTAGAATCCGATTGTTTTATTGCACATTTTCGTGTGAAGAACAGCAGACGGGGAAGTCAAGTCAGAGTAAGCTTTATGCACCCAAAGTCACGAGGACCTGCTGTTCAGTGATGGAAACGGGGAACTTAAGCCCCGGGACTTGGAGTGGTGAACCACGTAAGGCCCCGATAGGTTAGGTGTGGTATTGAACCGGACGACAGCACAACTGCTTACCACCCATGTTGGGTGGTAGTGGTGGCCAGGTTCGAACCTCGGACCATAGGGTCCAAAGCACGCCTGTGACAGCGACTAAACCACTGTGCCACCACCATTCCCGCGGGCTATATAGTTACACGCCTTCCCTTTTTCATTGAGCCAATTCAGCACAAACAGATCGGTTTCGGGCTCAAATGACTGCACACGGATTCACACTACCTGTGATGGGCAGAGGAAAGCACGATGACTGTTGAGGTGTATCTCTATCCTAAATGGGATTAGGCAGCCTAACACATGTACCAACCATTGCTGTCTCAATGATAAATCATGCCTTTCAAGTCCCAAGGAGCGGAACTGAGGTCTCATACTCAAACAAACATGCGTAGTCTTCAAATTGATTGCATTGATAACGAAGATGTCTTACTTATCATTTTAAAATCAAATTGTAGCTTCTCGAATCGCAAAATTTGAATATCAGGAGTAGAGGAGGGGGGGGAGAGAAGACAACACCAGTAGACTGTCATGTGCCTCGTGGCGTATTCTAATTCTTTGGTTCGTATCACTGACCCAACGCTTATCTGAGGCTATCAGAAAATGTGGCC